ATTGTGTCTTGCCCAAAACCTCAACACAATGAGGCTTAAACCTGGACCACTTGATTGGAGTCCAATGCACAAGTCCTGTAATTTTGTGATTACTATTTTTTTAAATAAATTACTTACTTGCATGAAGTTAATTACTAACCGTGTAGCTGAGTCATTGGATTTATATTCTGGAAAGAATAGAAACAAACCAAAAAATTTCATGATGAGGTACAATCAAGCACAACTGGGCTAAAAAACATTTGATTAAAGCTACATGCTTTATACTGTTCATATATGGTGGACCAACATAAACCTATGATGAAATGTAAAAGGTAAAGTCTGAGCCTAGAGGCCCATCAGGTGCTTGCCGAAGCTTATCTCTGGTTTCTGTATTATGAAGTGACCAGGAGTATTTCTACTCCCCCTGAATGGGATGCTAGCCCAATGCAGGGTTACCCCCAGCATCTATAAAACTGCTAATATCAGATCGCCCCTCTAAGACATTGTCACTCTAAGGAAATCTCCACTTTGGACAAGGAGTGAACTAATTCAGTTGTGAACAAGAACCCAGAAAACAGTTGGAAAATTCCAAGTATATGGACGATTTAAGACCACATTTAAGGACATTCTATATGCTGACATTAGAACTTAATAATTAATGCTAGAGGTTTCCTACCATCACCACTGCCAGAATGAGCATCCTGAAAATAATAACAAATCATAATAATTATAATGAAAGCAACTGCTACAGTTCTGAAAAGATTTCACACAACTTTTTCCATTTTTCAAACATTTTCTTGACAGAGTCATACATGGACCACTACAAGGCAGACATAACAAATTTTAAATACTTGAAACATGCAAAGTAAAATACACTGCAGTGGTAATGGGAAGTTTATGCGTAAAGACCCTAGCACACAGAGTTGCAAATAGATAAAAGTTTTTCACTTTTGCCTACTTGTAACCGGCTAGGACTAACGATTCTTTGCATTCACCTTCATCAAGATCAAGTTAACATAAGTTTGGCCACCCAAAACAATTCTGTATGCATGGTCATCTTATGAATACTTCAGAACAATCTGATCCTCCATTTAGCCAGGATATAATCCAACTATTCGATTTCTCACCTCACTTTCATTGTTGTCAGAGTCATCGCTATTTTCCGAGGATTCCATTTCAACCAGACCAGGCATACACTCTTCATCAGAGTTATTTCTACTTGTGTCACTGGAGTCAGGATCTACCAAGTCTGGGAGGTCTTCTGGTTGACTTTAAAATGCAAACAATGTATCAAATGTTATTGAACTACATGTAGCATGAGGTCACATTATTGATTCTTCAATGTGAAAGGAATTCTACTATCAAGACAATTTATTTAATATTTTGTTTTTTAGTTATTTATTACAATTTAATGACAACAAATTAACAAAAACAGAAATGCCATAAGGATGGTCCGTAAAAGAGTCATAGACCCCATACTCATATAGACCACCTACATTATAAATATACGAAAAAATATTAATTAAAATAAATATATTCTATAAGCCAACCAGTTCAGTTGGTATTCATTAAAGTGCATACGACATAAAAAATAATTTTTGCTTATTCGAAAGGCCTTTCAAAATACAGAAGAATGGCGTTTTTCTTTTTGAAATATCTTTTTTTGTTTTAGAGATATTGACGTTTTTCTATTATGCAAATTAGAT